GTGGAGTATCGAAATTTTTCTTTACTTCTAAGTTCTGGGTTAAGCGCTAATAGAGTTGTAATTTTTTATCCTCTTTATCATATTATGATTCTTGTTTTGAGATATTAAGATATGTGATTAAATATTAGGTATATTATATTAAATGAAAACTATTAGGGTTTTAGTGTTTGGAGGAGTTATGACTTAACTCTAGGCTTGAAGGTTAGGAACTTGATTATAGAGTTGGGTGTTGTTAGTTTCGAAATCTTATCGTGGTTACTTATTTGAATAGATTGTTTTGAGTTGGAAGTTCAACAAAAAGAGAAGACTCAAGTTCCGGAGTGATTGTTCTACTATTTGAGGCAAGTGGATTTCTAAACTCTTGTTAAGCGTATGAAATTCGTGTATCTTCTTGTGTGATGTTGAGAATGATTTGGAGACTTGTTGTTTATTTGTTGGTGTTGTATTCCTTGTTGTAAATTGCGCTTTGGTATCAAAATGGTTATCTCCTCATTTTCATTTGAGCATGTCAATTGCATTGTATCTGAGACATGATTGTGGTATAAAAATGTATCATTTCGAGGGTCGTATTGCGCGCCGCGATGGATATTATATTTCGAGAGATGTATCGCGCACCGCGATGGTTACTATTATCGAGGGTCGTGTCGTGCGCCACGACAGATGCATGGACAGATATGTCCCTCATGGGTCCCGGACTGAGAGACAACGGGTGTGTATCGTTAAGAAAGACATGCATCACTATATTTGGCATCACATCTCATGGCATTGCACATTTATTATTGATGAACTTGAACATGTGTTTTGCTGATCTTGTGAGTGTTTTTCTGTAAAGCTTGTGACTGTTGAATATTGAGTTGTTATTGAGAATGTGTAAACTGATAGAGTGTGGTTATTGAGTTGTGTGTTTGGTAAACTGTAAACTATTAGGCTGTAGCGTGGAGGTCTAGATAGGGTGTAAGAAGTACCCGTATTTTGTTCATTTAACTTGTGTTTAGAGGTTTGCTTGTTGGGTACTGCGTGGTTTGGTACTCACCCCTTGCTTCTACAAATTTTTTTAGGTTACGAGCCCAAAATTTTGTGATACCTTCCATTCTCTTCGTTTCTGAGGCATCTTGTGGAGGATTGTGAGGTAGTTGCTTGTCATCTCAGCGAACTTTCCTACTCTAGTTTATGACTTTGTTTTTACTTGAAAGACAACTTCATTTTAGACTTCTATTTTGTTTCAATTCTTATATTTACATTAGAGGCTTGTGCACGTGACAACCTGGTTTTGGGGACTGAATTAATATGACTTGGTTTTTTTTATAGAAATTGTTGTTGGATTGTCATTTACTTCCGCACTTTGTTAGATATTGGGTTTTAGACTGACTTGTCTTGTGGGATAAGACGAGTGTCATCACACCCATTTCGGGTCGTGACATTCATCAAAGCATATGAATTTTGCAACTGTTGATGATGTTGCTGAAACTGCAGAGGAGGTTGAAAAACGAAAGGGATCTATTGAAGATGCAATGAAGGTAATTAAATATCTGGTACTTAATACATTGATTGATACTTTATTATTCTGTAAAACTTTTAATAAAATCTCTTTTCAGATGGTTGATACTTATTCCATCAATTTATCTTTGAAAACTGTATGTCATCAGCAATTGCCTAATTTTTTTACAGTAAATATATATATATATATATATATATATATATATATATATATATATATATGATGTTTTTAATCATGAATTTTGGTATATAAATTATTCTATTAAATTGATTAATGTATTTTAAGTATCGCTGACTGCATAATATATATTAAAAGATTAACAGATACTTTATTTTTTAAAATATTATTATTTATTTTGGATCATGGTGCTGACATAATTAAAGAACAATTTGAAAAAAATTAGTATATTTTAAGTTGCATAAGTTATTGAAATTATAGTGTGTTTGTTAATTATTTGATATCACACAGGGTTCTATCTCACCGGTCTCATTCACACTTGAAAATGAAGCAGTGACAAATGCATTTGCACGTGGACCACCAAGCTGGGAAATTAATGTCAACCCATTGGATGTTGTAATTCCTCTACAACTTACCTAGAGTGATGATCTGTTATCAGACAATCAGCTACCCACCTAGCTTGGTGTCAGTGATGTTGATACTAAAACTCATGCTCAGCATGACATGATGTCTTCTAAGGTTTTGCAGTCTTCCTCTGTACATTCGTTTGAATCAACTGATAAGGGCAAGGACAAAATAGACAGTCATATCTTTTAATTTACTCCATTTGATGATTGTCGAATCACATAATAAGTATCGCCGGATTTAATGTAAGAGTTTTTAGATTGGATTCAAAAGGGACACCTTAAATCACACACCAATAAGTAAGTTTTTATTAAGAAAGTTTCTTTATAAAATTATTTTTTTAAGTACTTTAATTTTGAATTAAAACTTTTTATTATAGGAAACCTGATGATGATAAATATAGAGGCAAATCTGCTAATTTTAGATTTGATTATATGGATTTTATTGTCGTAGTTCCTATTGACAAGAACTGATTTTATATCATGTTGCATCCAATGAAATGTTGGACTGATCAGGTACATTATGCGTTTAATTATTTAAATAATGCAATATATAGATCGTTCATATTATTTTGGCATCTGCTTACAAATTTATTTATACCGTTATTCAATCTATATTTATTTTTCAAATTGTGCAGATTTCATATTGTGTTGTTTTATATATGTAACAACATCTAGATGTAATTTTTTGCTGTCTACTGAAGAAGTCAAAATCAAGAGACTTGGATCAATACAAATACACTACGGTCAACTGCTTGTTTAAATCATACATCAACATTGCATATAATAGGTATTATTTTGCTCCTATTGGTGAATCTCTAACTACACAACAACATATTGGTCGTGGTGTTGCTATAGGTGGTTATGAAAGGTCTAAAAAAACATCATTAATGAATTTTTGATACATGCTTCATTACCTTGAAATCTAGTTGATGAAATTTATATTCCTGTTAATTGTGGCAAAGATTTTCATTGGGTGTTGGTTGTGGTTGTTTTGAAGAAAAGGTTATTGCGTGTGTATGACTCATCTGGTGGGTCAAGGAAAAAAATGTCTTTTGAAGAGATTAATCAGTTGTTTGTAATGCTTCTAAACTATCTACATGATAGCGATTTTTTGGATAAAGCGGATAGAATTAATTGGTTATCATTGGAGGCGTACAAAGACAAGAAAACAGGTGAACTGTTGGGTCAACATTCATTTATAGTTGAATATGCGCAAGGGATTATGCAACAAAAAAGCGATAGCCTGTAAGTATTTGTGAATCAATTTTTTTGTTTGATAAAATGTTTAGTTTTTAGATTTTCCTTACATTCAAATCCTTTTTAATGTATCTTCATTTTCTTTTCAGTGATTGTGGACTATTTATAGTTGCTTATGCAGAATATTTGAGCGACGAAATCAAAATTCCATCCGTTGATCTCAGAGTGACTATCTTCGCAACAGATACAGAACATTGTTATGATAGTATGACATGGACAAACTCAAGGCTGGATATGTTAGTTATATCGATGATCCAACAAGGCCAAAGGGTGAATTTTCTTAACAGGCAGAAGATGCATTGGTTGATGTTGATTAGTTAGGTTTATATAATTTTTGAACTATTATTGAAACGGAATATTTTGTATTTCAACTTCTATTTTTCGTTCAATATTATTAAGCATTTTCTGGTTTTAATAATTTATCTTATCAAACAGAGAATGATACTATATTAAATTTTTTAACAATATAACTGTTAATTTATTTACTCAATTATGACACAAAATGACACATAATTATTTAGTTAAAATTTATTAATTATTCGATAAATAACAAGATATGATACTATATTATAATCGAATACAAAGTAACAATAGAATTATTACAAATATGATTCTTATTTTAGTATAAAAAAATAAAATTAGTATATCTTTATTAAATAATTTATATAAGTAATATATACAAAATAAATGATGATACCATAATAGATTATTTTCAGAGTATATGTGATACTATTTTTACACAATTATTATACTAGTTGATACAAAATAAGTTACTCCAAAATATCGTATTTTTCGTGCAAATCAAAATGTATGATATTGTATTACAATCAGATACACAAAACATATAATATGACACGTGTTAGCAACATAAAAAATTCAATTTGTATAGCTTGATTAATTAATACAACATTATGAACATAATATATTTAGTATCGTTAAGAATTACATATCATATAATAAACTATAAATATTTGATATCAATTATTGTTTTGAATGAGATAACAAATTTTTGTTATTATACGTTTATCATTTTATGTAATTGAGATTAAACAAGTTATAAATGTTGTAAATTTGAAAATATTTTTGCACGTAATATAATACAGACAAAATTTGTTATATTTAGTATCAAATAAGATTTTGTAGCTTAAATCATTCACATCTTGTTAATCACATCAAATAAAAAAAGTTCACATATTATTAGCAAATTAAAAATATCAAGAAACATTATTACACATCAAAGATACTAAAAAAATATAAATCAAGAATCTTTTGGAAAGAAGGTACAGGTTCTTTTATTATGACTTTCTTGACCACAACGTCCACAACAATTTGTTCTTGTTGTTATCTTTTCATCTGGATTTTTCTTTCTCTTTTTTCTTGGTCTTCCAGGCATCTTTTTGTATCTAGGTGACAAAACCACTTCTTCCAAAATAGAGTTCGGAGCTTTCCATTCTCTTTTGTCTGGCATTGGTTCTATTGGAATTGCATAGGTATTTGTTAATGCATCGTGTTTATAATAATCAGAGCAGTAGGGGTGTACATCTGTTATATTCTTCTTCTTCAAGACAGCTATTGCATGTGGACAAGGTATCTCGTCATGTTAAAATCTTCCACATGAACAAGTTTTACTCTCAAGACAAACAATGTATCTAATCCCACCTTCATACACTGAAAAAAATAAACTCAGAAGATACAACAACCTGCAATTTTTTAAAACATAGAGACAGTCAACAATTTATTTTTTTTCATTTTTATTTAACAAAAATAATAAATACAAAGCAAATATGTACCTTCATTTTTGAACTTTTTGATGCGTTTAAAATTAATATTTCTTCAAATCTTTTACCTAATGTTTTCTTTGTGTAAGAAGCTATTTCTCTATTTTTGCAATTCCAAGAACCAAATAGAATTCTAACTTCCTCCAATAAATCTATAATAGTTAGTTGTCGTGCATCAACAAGGCAACCATTGATACATTCAGCTTTATTTGAAGTCATCATTCTCCCACGGTTCACTGTTGCATGAGACCTAGACCACCTTTCATACCCAGCATCTTGAAGGTACTTTTTTACTCTTCCATCTATTTTATCCAATTTAGCCGTCAATTTTTTAAAATCATCTTTTCTATAAGCCTTAGCCTTTGAGAAAAACAGATCACTTAGAATGGTCTTACTTCTCCTAAAGTTTGAACACACATTTTCTCAGAGGTGCCATATGCATGCAAAATGAGGAACTGTTGGATAAACAATACTCACACCTTTCTTGATGCTTTCATTTCTGTCAGATACAACACATATTTTTTCCCTCTCACCAAATGCATTCTTAGATTGTTGAAAGAACCATGTCCATGAACAATCATTTTCCGTGTCAACAATTCCATACGTTAAAGGCAATATGCAACCTTAATATATAAACACAAAACAACATATACTAAATAACTACTTAATATTAAGAAAATAATAAAATAAATTCATAAACAACATGGCATACCTGCTCCATCGAGTGTACTAGCAGACACAAATGTACCTTGATAAGTTCCACTCTGATGTAAAGCACCAACAACGACAACTGGCCTGCAGAATTCAAATCCTCTCATCATTGACTTTAATGATCTGAAAAGATACATAAATTCGTTGTATTCAACTTAAACATCCTTATATATGAATTTGGATACACAGTTTTCAGCATAAATATGTATCTTGGCATGTTTCTGTATCCATCAGCAGGCTTACCTCTTATAAGTTCCAATGCATGCCCTTTTGCGCGTCATGCTTGTTGATAAGAAATCTCAACCTCATACATTTTCCTAATACACTACTAACAAACCTAAATGTGGCTTGTACCTTGCTTAATACCATATCCCTTAATGGACATGTATGTTCACTATTAGTATCTCACTATGAATGTTTCTGAATTCTTCCTAACAGATGCCTTCAATTTCCAACAACAATCATCTGAATGACAAACTAATACGTAGCTGCAAAAAAAAATATTGATTATTTGCTAAGATTGATTGTTTTAATAAACAAAAAAAAATAGAAAAAGATATGTTATTTCATTTTCACAATAGAAATGATATTTCATAATAAATATTTCACATCTTGATAACTTACTTTGTAGATTGATCAGAAATATTACATTTATTGGTTTTAACATTCAAAATGTGAAAAACATCATAACGATCAAATCATATTACACAAAAAACTACACGCAACATATAATATTAATGTATCATACTAAATATATTAAAAACAAATTATATATTATTAAAAATATTAACATATAAATTGAAAAAGTATCTTTTGTTATCAGATCTTTAAACTTTAAAGTTGAAACTATTCTTTATTTTGTAATTTTTCATTGCCGCCTTTAGAGTTGACTTATCCTTATACATTTGATTCTCTTCCACTATTGAATTATTGGTGTCTGATATATACTTATCAACATCCATTTTCGGTATGTAATATGCATCATCAATTGATGATTCAACAATATTGAGAGCCTTAGGTCGCCTTTTTTACCCTCAACACACATGATGACACTTATTTTTATATCGAAATTTATTATCTCTTCAACACCTTTATCTGAAGTATAAATGCATAAAGGATAAGTTCCGAACCCAGCCTCATGTTTCTTAATTTTTATATACAATTTTACACTCATATCAGTCCGAATACACAATGGAGACGAATTCCCTTCAACACCATATCTAATCTCTATATTTTTTTCGATTCGTCAATACTAGCTCAGCCACAATTGCTGAAATAAGATTCATGAACGAAATATTTTCACCAACCACTACCCCATCACTTTTGTATTGCTCTTACATAACATCACTTTCCCATATTCCAGCATGTCGCAACAAGATCGAAATATTCATCTTTGAAAATTCAAAATCGACGTTCCAGAGAATTTTTTTATGCAAAATCATTTTTTTTCTAATTCAAAATCTGAATTTTTTAATATTATGAAATTGAATAATGCAATAAGTTAATACGCTTTTTATGCAGATTTGACGATAATATTTTTAAAAATTAATGTAAATCATGGAAAATTTGTTACCCTTTTTTTGCGCCGTAATAGTTAACATAAAAAAACATTAAAGTATCCGGCCATTTCTATTTACATATCATTTTGTTTTATAAAGTATTCGGATTTCTCAAAAACAAAGAATTTTTGGTAAATATTGATATCATAGGGATAGAATGTAATTTGTCATTTACAGTATGTCATTTGCCTAATTTTTACTTTAATTTGTTACCAAAATCAATTTATCGTCTGATCCACTAGGAAAGATATGAATCCTCCATTATTGAACTAGGGAAGAATATGAGTTCAAATTTAAATTTAAAAATTAGTATACACAATTTATTGAATATTGTATACCATTTTGTGTATATTATATGTGGATTTAGTTTATATCATTTAATTCAATAGTATACAATTTGTTGTGATAGTATACTGCAAAAATATACTGTATAATGTAATATTATACTTTTACAACTAGGTCATTTTTCAACGTTTTGAAAATTTGATTTATTGTATACAAACTCGTTTGAATGAATGGTATATCATAAGATTGGAAAAATCAAGAGGGGCTCATATCTAAAATTTGAGACTATTTAGGTTAGATTTAACCTAAGTGGGATTGAAAACATTTTTTACCTTATTGAGAAAGATGAGTTGTAGCAATGTATTGATATTGTATAATATTAATGTATATAAAAGAACATATTTCTGTGTACATAGTTATACATTATTTATACAATAAAATAAAATAATTGAAAAGAGAAAGAAAGGACAAAAAGTGAAAAATAATATTAAAATCACATGACATTGACATGGAAATATGGGAGTTGACATAAAAATAGGTATAAGGATAATTATTTTCATAAGCACTATTATTAGAGGGCATTGATCGATAAAAATTGAGGATTGAATAAATAATATAAGTTTTTTTTATCTAAACGCAATTTAGTTCACCTATTCACAAAAAATAATTCAACTACAATTTAGTTCAGAATTTTCACCACAAGATTCTAAAAATTAAAAATGTAGTGCTATCATTTTCTCAATTTTTGCAGTATACTATCACAACAAATTGTATACTACTACAATTTGATCTCACGAAGAAGTAGAACTATTTGTGATTTTAACATTTATTACTTGGGCTATACATTGAGCTTACCTACTGATTTTTTAAAGAAAATATTTTGGACTTCCCATTGTTGGTTAGTTTGAAGGCAGACATTGTGGATCAAATATTGTCCATCCTAATTATTTATAGTTTAGATATAAGTTGAAGATCTGTAATAATAGTTTGCTTGATTACAAATTATAACTATATATTAGGAGTAAAAGGAAGCGAGCAAGATTAAAAGAGGGAGGAAAAAGGCGAGAGAGAGGGGATACATGTGAGAGAGGTTGAATATTTGTTGTATAAGGTATCACAAATACAGTTTATACAACTGATTTGTATCAAAATGAATATAATGTTCATTTTAGGAGAAGAGAGGCGAGCGAGATCTAGAAAGGATGAAACATATTATATGTTATATCACAAATACAATTGATACAAATACAAATATAGTTGTTTGAATACAATTAATTTGTATCATACATCAAATATTATTGTATTAACATACACAATTTGTGTTGACGTATATAATTGGTAGAATTCAAATTTCATAATACAATTGATACAAAATATGTATATAGTTGATATATAATAAAAGTATTATTGTCATATTTATAGAGAACGTTTTTTGGGATGCAACTCTTTGGGCCGGAGAGAGACGAAAAAATGGCACAACATGTACTCTCCTTTAATTTATTGGCAACATATAGCCTCTTTTTATTTTTATAACAAAAAAAAAAGATTTTAAAAAATTAAAATTGGCATATTTTTGCACTTATGCCCACATTAATATATGAGAAGTAATTTAATTTTAAATTAATTATTTTTTAAAATTAGTAACAACATGTTGCACTTTTAAAGGGAAGTGGGACTTTGTTCCCTTTTTTTTCTCTTCTTTTTTCATACACGTTTAATAAGCATTTAGATCATTCTTCTTCAATCCTTTTAAATAAAAGTGTTAAAAATAGATGTTATATCTTCTCTAGAAGATTTGTATGTTTTCAGTATTGTTGTTAACTTTTTTTCTTGGTTTTCGAATTTTTCAAGTTGAAAGTTTTTATATTTGGGTGAAAATTTAGGAGATAGTAATTAATTGTGGGTATCAATTGTCATGGATAAGAAAAATATAAAAATTATTCCTAAAAAAGAGATTCTGATTTTGTTGAATCTCCACCAAAAACTTCAAATTTTAGTCATGCAAGTTCTTCACAGTATCTGGTCTGTAGTAAGAATAATCTTAAAGGTGAATCGGTTGGTGTTGCAGATAAAAAAAATATAGTGAAGAGTTATTTCACTTGAGGTTGCTAGAAGGAGAAGGATTATAGAATGTGATGAATCGTCTAACTTTGAATATTTTTTACTTGTTTAATATTGAACGTTTTAATTTCTAAGTGTAATTCTCATTTACATACTAAAAGAAGAATCTAGAATGTATACAAATCTTTAGTGAATGAATACACATGTATGCATACATGAATTTTTATATACACGATTGTTCATTCAAATGATAAAAAAATTCATTCAAGTGATAAAAATTATTCGATTCAATGTTTACATTTTCAGTGAATGAATACATAAATATGTATACATGAATGCATTGTATACATGATTTTTCATCCACGTGATAAATTCCAATCATGTGATAAAAGATAATTTAGTTAATTATTTACCTATAAATGATTGGATACATAAAGTATATAATTTTTTCAAAAGGTATCCATTTTAGTGGATAACATAGATTTATATGTCTAGTTATGCTAATTAAATTGAATAAAATTGAATAGTGTGTGGTGGTTAGTTTAAAAAGAATTTTTTTTTTTTAAAAAAAAAAACTAATAGAATGTCGTGGTTAATATGGGCTAATTTGTGCTCTAGTAAATGCTATTTATTTATGGGCTATTTATTGGTAATTTTTCAAACAGTTTTATATATATGTCATTTACTCGGAGAGAGAGAGGGAGGGGTAGTGGGAGGAGAGAAGAGAGAAAATTTTTGTTTTATACTTATAGTTACAAATTATATTATTTTAAATTATAATCATTTTGTTCGTAAATATATACCACATGTTTGCCTTGTGATTTTTCCACTATTTACTTTATTGCCTAAATCAATTGGCTACTACTGAAAGAGATGGCTATCGATCAACTATGAGGGAGCTTCGAATTAGGAGATATCAAAAATCCAAATATGAAAACTATTATCTGGGAATCCTATGAACTATTATTAGTCACTATTATTTAGAATATAGAATTGAGCTTGAGAATCTTCCATTATTGAACTAGTGAAGAATGTGAGCTCAAATTTGAGATTGAAAATGAGTGAAGAAGATATATTGAATATTGTATACCATTTTATGTATATCACATATCAATTTACTTTATATTATTTAATTCAATAGTATACCACTTATAGCAATAGTATACTGCAAAAATATACAGTATAGCATAATATTATATTTTTATAACATGGTCATTTTTTTAATTTTTGAAACTTTAATTGAAGCATACGTAAATCATTTTGAGTGAATAATATATCAAAAGACCTGAAACATCGAGAGGATCTCGTGACTAAGATTTGGACATGCTTAGAAGAGATTTGAGCTGGTCAGAATTGGGGGAAAATCCGCCTCATTG